ATTTGTTTGAAGTTATAGCCTGATTTTAGATGTGCTTTGCAGGGATCAAGAGAGAGGGTCCCATCCATGGTTGGGGTGCAGGATATAGGGAGAAAGGAAAAAGCAATTAGAAAGTGGTGAAAAGGTGGCTGCAGAGAATGGAGGCCAGTCCAGTGCCAGAGTCCGGCTGAGGGACAAGCACCAACCATGACCAGTTTGTGAAACATACGCAATCCTGGGATTCCCAGAAATACTTTGGAAGAGAAACATGAACAAAAGAACATTAACTGTCACACTGGTTGGGAGCTTGAATGGTTCCTTATTACCATCCTAGACCAAGATCAACCACCATTTTCTTTTTCTTTTTTTTTAAGTAATCTCCAACATGGGGTTCAAATGCATGACCCTGAGATCAAGAGTCGCAGGCTCAACTGACTCAGCCAGGTACCCCAACAATCATTTTCTTTGTGAAGCATCTCTCTATCCTCCCTTCGCTGTTGTTGCTACTTCCTCTAGAGTCACAGAGCTACTTGGTAGATATAATGTAGTGGGGACATCTGAGATACTTTTGTTCTCATCTCACTTTCCATTTTATTTCCATTTCCATAGCCCTGGTGTCTGATTCCAAAAATGTCTGTGGAATGAATAAATGCTTATGGTGGGCTATGCAATGTTTCAGGTGGGAATCCAAAACATCATGTAAGATGTGTAATGGCACGTATAGCTTTTCCCTTCCTTCCCATCCAAGCAGATACTGGGTTCCACGTTCACAGGACAGGATGTTACAGGGAGAATAAGGTTTATCCGTAGTAAGATTATACTATGTGTCTCTGAATTAAATCCATTGCAATACGATAAAGCAGCTCTGAGGAAAAAGCAAAATAGTGGTCCTGGGTAATCTAATTGGATTTGGGTGCAAAATATGTAAAATGTTCTGTAACTTCATTAGCCTGATTTTGTACACAGTTGGTCTGGTCTTTTGGACAGCTTCAATTCTCAAAACTGTAAACATGGAGCTTCTTTTTGTTCTGTTAACTGTTTCCTCAGTGCTAAATTCTGTGAATTTGTCTTCTTCCAATGGGCACTCCTGAACTGTTTGGTTATCCCTGTCTGGGAACTCACCTTTGCTACTGAGAACTTTTGGCTAGACCATCTGTTGCTCCTGCTTGCGCAGCCTGAGGAAAGGGAGGGGTGGTGTTTTCAGTGAGTTAGGGAGGAGAAAGATGCGCCACTGAGCAGGGTAACTCTGGTGGCTGGCCTTCTGGACTTGGGTGTTCCCATTTTTGCTCCTTCAGGAAACATGTTCTCCAACCTAAACTGGGAAGTGTGAGATGGGGATGCATAAAGATCTGATGGTTTTGCTGCTCCCACTGCAGCACCCTAAATAATCTCTCAGCAAATTGCCTTGGTATGTTGCCTCTCTGAGCCCCCTCCCACCTCTGGATGCCACCACTTGTGGTGATAAAGGTCCTCCTTGGCATGGCTCCCATATTTTATGGTTGTATCCTCCCATGTGCTTGCCACCAGCATTCTAGGCTACAGTTTTGTTCTTCAATTTGATTATGCTGGTTTTCATTTTCTCAGGGATTTCTTAGTTTCTGATCTACCAAGACTTCCCCTTCTTGTTTTAAGTTTGGCAATATATTTCCCTATTCTTAAAAAAAAAAAAAAAAAAAAGGCGTATCATTTTTCAGGCTTGGTGGAGGAGTGGGGGGAGAGAGGATCCTGTAGACTTAACCCATCGGAACACCGTGGCAGTGTTTATTAGATAATCAATAGGTCTTCCTGATTACCTTGAAGCACTGCAATGAATGACTGAAGACCAGGGAGGTAGAGCATTTCCAAGAGATACTGTGAGGCTGATGGGGTGACTCCTGTCAGCAATATATTAAGACTGGATTGCTAGAATGTTTTATTTTTTTTAGTTTGTCTACTTCCATGAGAAGAGGGAACTGCTTAGCAGTAGAGAGAACTGGTAAGAAACAGTAATGGTAGCTAACATTTAACCATCTCAATCGCTGTGAGCCCTCTGCAAGTCACATTTAAACATCGCAGCCACCTTATGAAGCAGGTACTATTAGCAGCCTCATTTTACAGATGTGGAATTGAGACACAGAGAGGTTCAATAACTCACTTAAGGCTACACATCTAGTATAAGGAAGAGCCAGTGGTACAGGTAGGCTCACTCTAGAGTTCACTGTGTAACCACTATGCCAAGACGTGTGCTACAATGTCAACCCTCAGGAGTTTATAAAGTAGTTACTAGGCTGAAATGTCCATAGTATTGTTTTGTAGGGTAAAGGTTTGAAACAAGGCGAATGATGTCACTTCCACGTAACAAGTAGATATGATGAACCAGTAGTTTGGACATATGGTCTAGACCTTATTGTTTTCAAACTCTCCCTCACTACCTCTTCTTCATCCCCCACCCCCTGGCATGACAATCAAAAACTTGGTAGTCACCCCTGACTCCTCTCTTTTTCCCACACAGTTCTTCAGCAAATCTGCTTGGTCGTTCCTTTAAAACACAATATAAATCTCACCCACCTCTCACATCTCCACTGTATCTGGGATCCAGAGTGAGGGGGTCACAATCAAGAAGTGCCCACCACCATTTCTGCTGCCCAACTTCCCCGAGTCCCAGGAAGCCTAAGAGCCAACACCACTCACAATGCTGCTCCAGAGAAAGGCTCATGCCAAGACCCTGACTGCCAGCAAGAGACAGGCCAAAGCAGAACAGGAAATTACCCCCCACCTCCCTTTTGCTTCCCAAATCTTTTCCTCCTGCAAATCCCCACACTTCCCTTTTGGCATATATAGGAATCAGCTTCCTTTGATACCTTCTTGAATCTCTAGTTCAGAGAGGGACTGTGTTCCTATTTTTTTTCTATTCCCCATTAGTACCTAGAATGTTGTCATGTAGAATATAACTGCCATTGGGAACAAAGAACTTATCTAGATAAAAAGTTTGAACCAAATGTAGTGTTTCAGAGTAAGTATCTCAGTGACATAGTCAAGATGAAATATAAACCATTTCTACCTAATTAGTTGGATACTTCTCAGTGTCTGGAAGGTGTTTTTTTAAGTATACATATTATATATATATATATATATATATATATATATATGTACGTATTTTGTTTAAAGTAGGTTCTATGCCCAATATGGGACTCAAACTTGTGACCCTGAAATCAAGAGTCACATGCTCTACCAACTGAGCCAGCCAGGCGCCCTTGTAATAATATATTTTTTGAGGACACCTTTAAGCACTAGATTAATTAAGCCATTTATACTTGTAAATGACAAATGTCCCTTCTAGTATGGAGTATGGCTCAAAACCATTTTTTTTTTTTTTAAATCCTTGGGAGACTAATACCCTCTTCTTCACTGCTATACTCATTGACTAGATATTAGAGCTGATTGTATATTTTGGAAGTTGATGATTTAGACATGACAAAAAATGAATTAAAATCCATCCATCTTAACTTAATCCTAGAAAGTTGTTCAATTGTGAACACTTTTAGAGACAGTCCCCAAATATTCTATGACGTATACCAAGCTTTCAGGAAAACATCTGTTCTATTTTGGAGGTTCACATATATACACGAGTTCACTCACTTTTATGTCATAACTATATTTACATATTACATAATACATTGATCAGCCGAAAGAGAAAAAGATACTTCTGACATTAAATGCCAACACAGTATAAGTCAAGATAACTAAACTATTAAATAGTAATGCTCTTACAAAGAGATAAGAAAATACTCAGTCTCATTCTATATTATTCTTTTTGATGGTTTCTATGGCTGTAAGCTGCCACAAAGTTTCTCTCACACAGTATTAGCCATTCTACTGGCTTCTGAAACAAAAGTTCCTGATTGTCCCCTGTGAGTACTGCCTCTAAATACAAACAAGAAAACAACTGCAACTGAAAAAGGAATGTTTCATGGTCATAATTTCTCACTTGTGAAAACATTTTTGAGTTTGACTGTTTTAGTCCCTCTGATAGGAATTTACAAGCTTAACAATTAATATCTGAATTGTTGTGACTACAGTGTATGGTCCTAAACCCTAAGATGGATTCAAATAATCTTCAAGAGACTGGAAGCAAAATATTCAGTACAGAGTGTCCAGTAAAAATGAACTGTAAAACTGTCATCATATCTAGACTTTCTGCAACTGAAGACAAACGGTGGAGAGAGAGAGAAGCTCTCAGAAATCAGTTAGAGGCCTATGGGTATCTAAGCTCGGGGTAAGTCCTCAAGTTTAGCAAGGGGACCTCGGAGGCACCTCCTGCTGCAGTCACACCTCCCTGTCTGTGCTCCCTCTCACAACCCCCACTGGCTGGTGTACAGTTTTTTAAAAAGGCCTTTGCAGCAGGAAGAAGATTCATCACAGAGCATTTCATTTGTACAAGAGGTGGGAGCACCTGGTTAGGCCCACTGAGGTAACTGTGTATAGAAATGTTACATAATTGATTCAGTCCACTTGGTTACCTCATTTTTCCCCTGGCAACTTTCTATTCCTCCTAATGTAGTATAGTCTATTTATTTATTTTTTAAAAAGGTTTATCCACCCATTTTAGAGACAGCGAGCAAGCAAGCAAGAGAGAGCACATGCATACGCCCATGCACACCACTGGGGGGAAGGACAAAAGGAGATGGAAAGGGAGAGAGAACCTCCAGCAGACTTCCCGCTGAGTATGGAGCCGAAACCAAGGAGCTGGACACCTAACCGACTGAGCCACCCAGACGTCCCCTAAAGTACTATAGTTTAGAAAATTAGAAACAAAACAAGTTAAGACATGCTAGGAACAAACTCAGCTGTAAGAAAAGCCAGCAAAAACACAATTCCAGAAAAATACAGGTCTGGGGCCATTTGAAAAAGGGGGAAATAATTTATGATAATCCTAAATTACCAAGGAAAACGCAAAATGTCTTAATATATTCTAAGAAAGTACAAAAGTGTATGACTCATTTAATACTTCACCAAAATAAATAAAACAAATGTCAGTTCTCTTTGAGATAAACTTCAGTTATCTGGGATATTTATTTTATAGGATATGTTCTCTTCTCTGGGAACGCCAGAAAATTAGGAGGCCTGTAATAAAATAAGAGCTCCCTAATCTTCACCCAGAGAAAGGATAACATAGGCTTATATGGAAGAAACATGATTTTGAATTTCCCACCAGTTTTACAAACCATAAAGCATCCCGAGATGTAAAACGTACATATCACTTGACAGTACTATTGTTGCATGGCTGCTTGTTAAATCTGACGTGCTGATTTAAAGTTACCTGAAACTTAGGAATGAATCTTGTCACATTCAATATACATATTCCAGGGTTTACTCTAGAAATCTGGGTTATTTTGACAAAACACCCCAAAAATTGTATTAGAGCAAACACTAAGAAACTATGATCTAAACTTTTTAAAGTATATAATGAGGTTATATAATTAGGACAATTTGGGACAAGATTCATGTTTGATAAAAGAGAACAGTATTTTTCTCCGTTCACACTGTACCACACAGATTTTTTACCATTAACTATTTGAAATGTTTGCAAAAGGCAAAATGCTCTACTGATGAATGGTGATAAATACACAATAAAACATACAGTCATAAAAAAGATCTGAAAATTTAAGAACAGGTACAACCTTGACTTTAGATTATCAACGATCTTTTTTTAACAACAAAATCATCTATGGCTTTTTTATAAAGGGTTAGGTAAAAATTCTACTTCCCCAGGTTACCAATCCTTTCACCATAGCACAAAATCATAGGGCTTCACTGTTAACATTTATTACTATGGTTTCAATTCTATTTTGGGAGTGAAACTCCAGCAAGTCCAACATTAATGATTAATGCCATACTCGTTTTATATCACATTATTAAAATGAGTAATGCACTTCAGTTCCTGAGGTGCATAGTATATTTTCATTTCAAAAACATCCACAACTAAAATAGATATTTAAAATCTTTATTGTTTCATCATCAAAAGTTTTCTTTCCATAGAAGAATGGCAATGCAGGATCAGTGCATATTCTATGGAAAATTCATACCTCAAATAACTAGCCTAGAAATCAGAGACAGCACTATGTCAAGCTAGTGTGCAAGACGAAAGACACAATGCTGCCAATGCAATCAGTACACAGAAAGAATATGCAGCTGTTAGAAAAAGAGTCTATGGCCAAGTGAATAAAACAGTAGCAGTGCACTGCACTGATATTCTAGAACAGAAAATGGGGAAGGGCCAGAGGATGTACTGCCTGCAAAAAAAAAAAAAAATCAAGTAGATCACAGGCACTGAGTTCCCAACTGTATGGCCAGCTACTTCATGCGTACCTGTACCTTCCTCTTTAGGTCTCCGTCATTATAACACCGCAAGTCATGTCCAGCCTACTGTCTAAGTGGGACGGCCACATGCAGATCTTTTGTTCTGCTGCCCATCTCACAGCTAAAGTCACAACATGGGTTCAGCAATAAAACCTGTGGCCTTTACACATCTTCAGTAAAAAGCTGAACAAACCCAAAATCTGTTTCCATTTTCTTGAGAAATAAACTCTATAAAACAACAAAAGATAGCTGTCATGATCACTCAGTTTTGTCTGAAGGCAAAATAATTTTCCTGTAAGTATACTGACTAAACACACAAATATCCTCAACAACATACTGTCAGACCAACTCAAACACTTTCCTAACTAGCTCTAGAAAAAGGTACTGATAATTGTTGAGATGCAAATGACCACTACCATTTGATCATGCCTGATTACCGGGAATTTTTTGGTCAGGTCTGTGTTTGAAGCTGCTATACAGCTGGATTTGGCTACTTTGCATTAATTCACACAATAAATGCCATTTAAAAGGAACAGCGTATCTATCATGATGAAATAAAAATCAAGAAAGTTGAGAGGTATACAGGAAACTTGTCTTAAATATTTTTAAATTACATATGATATAACCTTAGAGAATAAGAACTACAATTACCATGGTCTAAATCTTAAATTGTTAATGCATCACTTCTCTGCAAGACTAACAAGTCACTTGTTAATCATGTCAAGGCCTTGCGGGGCAGGGGGCGCTCGGCTTGTATGGCATAGAGATTACTTTCCAGGTGAGATAAACACCTCTAATTTAAAGTGTTATTAAACTATATTTGAAAAGTTATTTTACTTAATATATACAATGTATAAAATAAGTTAAAAGGAGGAAGCAGGGAAAGGTTTTCTGGTCTAGATGACGCAAACATACAACTTTCCCTTATCAGTAGTATAGTTCCACGTATGTCCGTTTCACCCATGGTAAAATATGGAAGGCTGATAGAAGATCAAACATTTCACTCAGAGACAGAAAGAGGATTCAAAAAGTGGAATTTCAATGTCGTTTCTTCCCACAATGCAACTCACTCTACTTTAACTATAATAAACATAAATAAAAACCATCTCAAAAATCTGCTTTTACACGCTTACCTTTAACAATAAATTCTTCTAACAATTGAGAAGAAAAGCACTTCTTTGCAGCAATCCCATAAAATAATTTTCAATTCACAAAACACCTGCTTCCTGGCAAAACCAGCAACCCTTAGGAGGGCACGGGCATTAATACTTGGCCCCTCTGAGGTATAAATGCAGCTATATTTGCGCTGAGTGTACAGTCTATAAGGTATGCCAACAGTCTGTATGTTTGCATAAAATTGGGAGTGATGTCATCCTGACTGATTGAAAACTTCTTTGAACTTTTGCAATGGAGGTTAAATAATTTTAAGACAAAAGATGTCCTTTAGCCCAGTAATAGCCAGCAGAAGTCTAATTTCTAACCAATGTAAATGGTTATTACTACATTTTTAAAATGCTTAACATTGCATACTGATTTAAAAAAGTAACTGAACAGGGACACATAAATATTTAAATTCAGCAGGACACCACAAAAAGCATACTAGAGATAAGTGTGAAATCAGTCAAGCTTTTCCAAAAGAGAAAATCCTTTTAATCCTTCAGCAAGTCTCTGTGAAAATAGTATGCTTACAATAAAAGTGAGAAGGGAGCATCCAGAATACCCCCAAGAGGCTTGCTGTGCCACTCAGCTTCCCTGCCCCAGCTCCTGTGTGCGTAGATGGCCAACAAATGACAAGAAGTCCACTTGACAATAGTGCAGTAATTCCTCTCACCACTGCTGCCAGCTGAAGTCATCATTGCTTCCAAAGACCAAGAAAAAGCCCAGTATAGTTGCAAAGATGACTGTGTTTCCTGTGAGAACAAGTGCACAAGCTCCCCACTCAATCTAGGGAAATAAAATAAACACTTAGTTAATAGACACATGAAAAACAAAAGGAGAATGAAAAGCAAATCACACTCTCGTTGTAAGCCAATCACGATCTAAAACAAATACAATTTGTAATAATAACTTTCGCTCTACTAACACTTAATGGTCTTTCTATATTGCTGTTTTTAATCTGCTTCCTTAAAAAGACAGAAAGTCACGAAGATGGTAATTATTCAACAGCTAGACTTCTGGACTCTGAGGAGGCAGCACAGACTTCTACAACTTTCTGTTTATAAAGAAATTCGCTCCAACTCTTCTTCAGTGAATCTAAAATTGTGTCTAGAGAGCAGATTAAAGTACCAAAGATGAAAACACACTCATGTGCATTCTTTTAAAGGGATAGAGGGAATAACCGCCTTCCCCATATGGAAGGGTGGCCGGCCCCTGGCTTCTCCACCTCCTCAGAGACAGAGGAGTGAATCTGACTGGCGAGTCTGAGAGGAAGACAAGTATATGGAGCCCAGCGCCCCTTCTCCTCTTCCATCCTTTCCCACCTGCCAAGAACACAAGATCTCCTCAGGCCTGTGGCCTGTGGTTGGTAAGCCCCGGGTGAGTTGATGTGCTCAGTTCTGAGAGTGAAGTACAGACCCCAGCCATGCTCCCCAATATCATTTTTATCAGTTAACAACAACAAAAGTAAGATTATCTCTTTTTTCTAGGATCTTCTGTCCCTCATCTCTTTTTCATGTCATTTCACAAAATCTTTTTCCTAAGACAATTTTAACACAGTCTAATGTGAAATCGTTAATTGAAGAATACATTCACTTACCAGATGTGCTCTGGCAAACACAATAGGGAGCCCAAAAGCTGAGACAACAATGCCTGTTGTAAGAAATATGGCAAGTTCCTTACAAGCGTTACTCATAGCATCTGTATCATCCACTAATCTTCTCGCTATGCAGTATGGGATAGGTGAAAGGATGTAAAAAAACAGAACAAAGAGAGGCCAGTATTGGCTAGAAAAAAAAAATAAGTTAATGTAGTTTTTGCTATCTATGTCATTTTCCTACACAACAATATACGCTTTTTAAAAATAAGGACCAAAGAAATATTGCAAGGTACAAAACATGATACAGTTTAAAAATAAACAATAACCTGAACACTCAAAAGAGAAACATTTAGTCACAGTATTTCTACAGTCAATTATGACACAGTGATTAAATATTTCTTATACTAAAAGAAAATGCTTTATAAATTAAAGCAGTTGGAATCAAGGCCCAAAATTAAAATATTTTTTATTTTAGGTTATAAATAAAGAGGCATATGGAAAATAGAAATATTAACACAGCATTTTTAAAATTCAAGATTCATGCCCTTGACTCCTAATGAATGACAGCCTTCTTAGGATAAAGCTGGAACATCCCCAAACTCTTGTTAGGTCACTGTGAGCTCCCCAAATACTGAAGTCAAAATGTAGAAAACAAACTGAAAGCAATACTGAAGACTTTCAGTCAGAATACAGAAAACAGATGGCTTTTAATGTACAGTCTAGCTATTGTATTGTGCCAATGTCATTTCCTGGTTGGATAATATAGCTACAGTTATGTAAGACAGGGCCACTGGGGGGAAGCCTGTGTGAAGGGTACAGGGGACCTCTCTGTACTATTTTTGCAGCTTCTTGATAGTACGTAATCATTTCCACATAAAAAGTTGAAAAAACACAAAAGCCACAAAAAGTGAAAACTCCAAGCTGCCCATATCTCTCCTGCTTTCTCCTTCCACTCTCCTAATGACCTTCTTGTGGATCCTTCCATATTTCCATACAGATAAATTTTAACAACATGAATCATTGTACTTTTCCATTTAACAATGTATCTTGAACACCTTGACATATTAGCACTTACAGCTCCTCCTCATTCTTTTTAAGACTGCCTACTACTTCCATTGATCGACATACCAGAGTTTAACCATTTCTCCTTTGTCAGGCCTTCAGGATGCCTCCAGGTTTTTTGTTTTTTGTTTTTTTTTTTTGGTTGTTATTATAAACAAGGCTGCCATGAGTATCCATACTCTCCCCTCACTACACATATCTTGGCAAACACCTGCCAGTAGATTTATATGCGAAATTCTAAGTGGAAAGACTAGTTCAAGGAATATATACATTTTGAGAGCTACAAGCAAACTGGCCTCCAAGATGACTGCCCGTAGCTATTCCTCCACCCCACTGCACAGGACAGTGCCTGTCTGCCCATAGTTTTTATCTCTGCCAAAGGATCTTATTTAATTTTGAGAGAGGCTGAGTATAATTTCATGTGCTTATTAGTAACTTGTAGTTCTTTTTTCATATTTGTGCAAATTTTTCTATTTAGTTGTCTATATTTTTCTTACTAATCTATCCTCTTAATTTTTAAATTTTAATTTTAATTTAATTTAAATTTTTAAATTTTCTATCCTATGGAAAGTAATTGCTTATATGACTTTTTTTCATAGTCAACTGTCTCTTGATTCTGCTTCTGGTATTTTTTGCTGAAAAGACATTTTATACTTTCTTGTGTTTAATTTTATCAACAGGCACTCAAAACTGAGCAGTAGTGCAATAACCAAAAGTGTTTTTCGCACTTCAAAAAAGGTTTGTCCTTGGTAAATGAACATTGAAGCTTTCATTCAAAAAATTTATAAAGCTTTAAAAGTAGAAAAATTTTACCCTTAAACACTCAAAAAGACAAAAATTTTACATACTTGTATATTGGAAGGGCACATCCAAGCATCAAAAACATCAGCCCAATTGCTCCTCCAAAGGACAAACTAATCAAAGCTGCAAAGTAAATAGAGTCAAATACAAATATTAATTAAACTAAGTATTATTTTTATTAATATTAGTATTAGCAGTCTGAATATTACGTGTGACCCCAGAAGCAAAAAGCAAAACACAACACAAAAAACAAATGCATTAAAAGTGAGTTATCTTCAAGAGTGTAAGTTATCTATAGTCTCAAAATAAGTTTTTTGTGCCATCTTCAAGGCAAAATAAAGCAACACTGATTTTCAAAGCCCTGACCCATCGTGAGCACACCACCACATTCCCTCGTTACTGGCTCCATTTCTAATGAGTATCCTAGCCCGCCAGATCAATGCTCTTCCAGTCATTAGTGTTATATTTACTCCACAGATCATTACAGTTTGAAAAGCAGGATGTGGAGAAACTGCATTCTCAGCTTTACTGGACTTTAGAACCTTATCCTATGGGAAAGTCTCTCATGATCAACTCCTGCTTATTGCACATACACCCCCAATGTGCTCAAAACTGATTAATAGTGTCCAACGACATCTGGAGTTAATAATTTTAATCAACTAATTTTGATATAGACCTTTGAGTAGTTTACAAAACTATAGTTGGGTTTCTTCTACACATTGGAAAATGTGCAGGATAATAGGTACAAATCCTTCTTTGGTATCACTATTTTATGATATTATCACAAGCAACAGATGCATTCTACAGGCGAAACATAGTTTCTAAAGTTATATACACACATATACAAAGCATTATATTTTATAAAGTGTTTTCACTTTATAGTGAGTAGTGAGTAGAAACAACTTTTTTCAATAGGCATAATCAATGGCCTAGAATTAAGCAAAGATATAAATGATCGATTTATTTTGAGTTCTATATAACCTGTATTTCCTCAACTACATTGGTTAAGAGAATAACTTAGGTGTTTTTTGTCTTAAAGGATGCAGTCCATTAACCTTAAGAGAAATATTAAAATTCAAAAGAGTTGTAGAAGGTCTAAAAGTTATCGGGAGAAAAACTAACACATACAAACCAAAATTAACAGTAAAGGGGTTAAATGCTGCCCAGTACTTCTGACAGACTTCTGTGGATTAAAATGGTGATAATCAAGGATACCCATTCACATGGTAGGTTGGCAAGTTTGATTTTCACTTAGATCACGGATGTAGGTCATGTCAACCTTGAACACATTTATTTAATCCTTAATGCCATTACATCTTCAGTTACAGAAAAAAGAAAAAGAATTACACTTTTATTTTATAGCAGATAACCTCAAGTTTACAATGGAATGCAATGTCAACTGTGAAGAAAATACTGAGTTTATCATTTGTTTTGTTCACAGGCCCTCAAAATCTGGCCCTGCTTACTCTCCTGACACACTCACACCAGCCTATTATCCCTTGCTCTCTGCACTTCAGTCACACTGGCCTTTCCTCTCCTGGAAATCAGCAGGCTCCCTCACCCACATGGCCCTTGTACATATTGTCCCTTCTACCTCAGACACTTTTTCATTCATTCATTTCATTCAAGAAATACTTATTCAAGAAATATTTACTGAGAACCAAATACATAACAGGTGCTGCAGATATGTTAATAAACCAGACAAGGCCCTTCTACACGCATGAAGCTTGCATTCTTGTTCCATTCCCTTCCTCTTTCTTCCAAGTGAACTCCTCCATGTCCTTCAGATCTCAGCTCAATCATTTCTTCCTCACTGAAGTTTTTTCAAACCTCCTGCTAGACCAATTCCCTCAATTCATTCATTCAACAAATATCTGTTGATCACCTAATACATGTCACACATTGTTCTTGATACTGGAGATAAAGCAATGAAAAAAAAAATCAAAGCTCTTGCTCTCATGAGGCATATATTCTAGCAGGAGAACAAAATGATTAAAAAAAAAAAGAAAACTAAGTTAGCAAATGAATGTTAAGAGTTATGGAAAAAATCAGGTAGAGTTAAGAGGATGGGAGTACTATTCTGGACAGAGTGGCCTGGGGAGGCATCTCTGATAAGGTGACATCTGAGCAGAGATTTATATGAAAAGAGGGAGTGAATCATGTGGATATATGAGGGGAGCATTCCAGCAGAGGGCCATGCATGTGCAGAGGCCCCCCACCCCCTGTACTGTATACATCCCCTTTGCTCAGTTATCACAGCTGTAATTTTATAATGATTTGTAACTGTTTTTCCTCTTTTAAATAAAGACTTTATTTATTTTAGAGAGAGAGAGAGAAAGAGGTAAGGAGCAGAGGGAGAGGGACACGCAGACTCTGTGCTGAGCACAGAGCCCAACATGGGGCTCAATTCCATGACCCTGAGATCATGACCTGAAGCAAAATCAAGAGTCAGATGCTTAGCCAACTGAGCCACCCAGGCGCCCCTGTATCTGCTTTTCCTCATGAGCTGTCTGGTCCACCACAGCAGGGAAAAAGTTTTTCTGTTGTTGATACTCACACCCCAGCTCTTAACACTGAATAATAAATATCTGTAGAATGAGTAAAAAGAACCCAAGGGAAAAAAGAAAGGGACAGAACGGAAGAGGAGGGGAAGATCATGCCAAAGCAGCAGAGTAAAAACAGCACATAAATGAAGTCAGGAGACAATGGGTCCCTAGTCCCTACTAGCCACTTAACTAGCTGTCCACATAATCATATCTGTTCTTTCTTCTATAAAATGAGACTTGGATTAGAACTAAAATGCAAATAATTCTCTGAACACTAAAGGTACTTGTTATAAGACATGCTGAAGAAATAAAAAGCCATCTCCACTTAAAAATTTTTTTATGTAACTGTATAATTAACATACAGTGTTAAATTAGCTTCGGGGAACCATCTCCACTTTTTGAATGTAGTTACAAAACAGCTAAATTCACCACTATAAATACTATATAGTAACAACTTATTTATTCAGAAGCCATTTATCCAGAATATAGTTTAGAATCCTGGAGGAAACAAGGGTCACTGAAGAGTAAAACAGATGTCACAGAGCCCATACATTAAAGCTACCATTCTTTATAAACAGACCCTTAGGCTCTTATTTAGTCGTTATTTATTCATTTTTTTGGATACAATTGTGGTATGTGAATTTCAGCAGAATAAAAAAAGAGAGTCATCTATATTCATTTATACATTTTTTTCAATAGCAATTCATGTAGCCTGAACAAAATTAAGTGAGAAGTAACTTTCCCTACCCACAAATGATCACTATTACCTGTAACTTGTAACATAAAATTTTATAAGTTTGAAGATCTTGTTTCCCACATTGAAACAAATGAGAAATAGGAGGTAGAACTGCACATAAGCAAGATCTGCCCTCTGACAAGAGAAAGGAGACTGGAAAAAAAAACAAAAAACCTTAAATCAGACAGAAAAATTTCAAAAAGCATACCTGTTTGTGGTAATCTTGGCCAAAAGGCAAGTAGCTTTAGGGCTTGATGGCCTCTGCAGGCAACTCTTTCATGACAGAGAACAGTTATTTATGTTCTTATCAAAAAAGAAAGTCTAAATTCTTTGAGTACACTCTTAGAAAGTTAATAAAAGAAGATCTCTTTTTTGAAAATTTAAAAATGAAAACAAGGTAAGATTTAAGTATCAAAAAATATTTTTATGTGACATCTCACCTCTAATCACACTGGATTAACCCCAATGGTGTTAAATACATAGCTCAAAAGTGTTCTCAAAACTTGTAAAGTTTCTCCAGGTTTATGAAATCAGCAACTAGGCTGATTTATACACAAATTTCATCATTTGTGTATAAATGGTTGTCCCAGATGACACATCAACAAGGCAAGAATTTATACCGTAATTGATTGATGAAACATTTGGAGGGCAAAACTTAGATGAGTCTGCTTTCTACTCCCAAAGCCTCTAGGCTCGGGATGGAACAGCCCAATTATCTAAACTCTCTAGAGACAGGGTGCTGATTCTGTGACTACAAAGAAATTAGCATAGCAGGGACCAGTTCCCTAACCTGGGAGTTATCAGAAAAATCTAATATATAGCCAAATAATAGGCAAATGGCTTAAGAATTAAGTAATGGTCTCCAATTACAGCAACACTCCTAATACAAAGATAGGCCAAAGAAAGAAAATGTCCTGATAAACAGTCATAACAATCAGAAAATCTTACTGAAACCAAAAGTGTAAGTACAATTCCATCTGAGATAATTTCACCTGGTTAATATTTTCTTAAATTTGGAGAAGGAAATTACAAAGTTATTTTTTTTAAGAGGGAGATTTCCGTTGATGACACTGAAGAAATGAGAAAGGACTGGGAAACTGGCAACATCCTTAAAAACCACAGCATTCTACCCTGCCTTTCCACACAAGGATTTAAGAAGGTCTATCACAGTTCAAAAAAATATTGAAAATGAACTCTGTTGCTTATCTATTGACAAAGTTTTACATCAGAAATGAAATGTTTTCAGACATTAAGCCAGAAACAGTAAAAATGTGACTCTGGGAAAGAAGCTCAATAAAAGTTGTCCTAAAGGAAATAAATAACACAGAAAAAAACACTGCTATCAAAGTTCTTCACCTCCTGCTTGCCTGTCCCTTCTACAAAGCCGCAGGTCAGGAAATCAATGCAATTCGTGGTCAAAAAGTTGAAAACGCTGTCAACGGTGTTTCCTTCTAATCACATTAACAAAACTACCAAACAATTTGAAAGACTGCAACCTTCCTTATTTCTAAAGAAAACAGACGAATAAACGAGTAATTTTTCATTAAGTTTTGACACTATTTTATTTCTTTAACGAACCCAACTGTGGAGAACAGGGGCACTTCGGGGTCGCTTACAGGGTCTAACCCTATCTGACAAACACTACAAATCAAAACGCATCAGTTTCTGAAGCCTGTAAAGCTTCGAGGACAGGTCCTGGGAGTGGATGTGATGGCCAAGGTTTCGGAAAGAACCGTCCCTAAGTCCTTCCAGGGCGTTCCGGAGGGACTCGGTTTCGCTCAGCACCCGAAGATCGCACTTGTGCCTTTAAGAGGGAAATGACACTGATTTCCTGTAACTGGCATCTCTAGGGGCCTCAAGCCCCTCAAAAGCACTCTCCGCTCGCCTCTCTCTTCGGATGCAAACTCCTGCAAAACGTGTGTGATGGCCCGAGGTGCTGCGGGACTCTCGCAGACCAAGGACCACTTCATTCTTTGTACGGGTGCCGATGGGTGGGAGAGAGGCTGCCGAGATCAGCAGGAAGTAGGGGCTGACGGAGAAGCCGCCGACCCTGCCGGCCCTTCCCGGAGGGCGCCACGCCCAGCTCGGCTCCCAGGCTGCGAGGGCGGAGGCGGAGGCGGGGGTCGAGGGGCGGGAGGCGGCCGCCAGCGCAGGGACCTCCGCGGCGCGCGCCAGGGCCGGAGAGGCGGCGTGCGGGGGCCGCGAGGGACCCCCTCCCCCTCTCTCGGGCGGCCACCCAGCCCTCCGGCGCCCTGCGCCCCAGGCCCACCTTTGATGCCGGCCATGGCGGTGACGTCGCTCCTGGCTCCGGGACCCGAGGCGGCAGCGGCGGCAGCGGCGGCCGGGAGACCGGAGACGCGCGGCGGCGGCAACCAGACAACACCCGGAAGTGCGCGACGCCGCACTTCCGCCGGCGACTCGCGCTCGCGCGGGGGCGCGGGGGGCGCGCCGGGTTGGGGGCGGTGGGGCCGACCCCTTCTTTTCCTGCCGTGGTGCTGTGCGGATTGCCGTCCTCGCAGGCTTGGCGTTCTCGCCTGGGTTCCGTTCCTATTTTCCCTTCAGGCTCGGGGAAGCTCCACTCCCAATCCCCCATCGCGGATCCTGCAACCTCCCACATTCTTGGAGGGTATAAGGGAGCGCGAGTAGCCGCCGTCCTTTGGGAGGCATGCTGTGATGTCTTCGGAGGATGGTATTATGGTCTTTAAAGCGCACCCTTGGCTCTCTCCTCCCCAGCCTTGTAATAGAAGTCAGTCCAGTTAGGTCGTTGGCACTTGGCTCCTTGGTTTCCGACCCAGATAGAGTTCTGGTGAGCCCCACCTCCACAGATAAGGAGCGGCGGGACCAGAAAATACAAATACACATTTTAATGCAAATCCGATCTCTTGGGAGTCTGTGAGAATCGCTGTTTATTTGTTGTTTTTTTGTTTTTAGTAGTAGCAGGGCTAGGGGAATAAAAAGGAGAAAGCAGAGGGACAAATACACTTACTTAAGTCATCCTTCAAATGCATTCAACATTTACTATGTTTGGGGAACAGGGCTAGGTACTGGCGTGAGCTAAACTAGGTGCGGTTTCTGCCCTGAAGGAGCTTGCAGTTTGGTGAGACACAGGCACACACACACACAAATGTAAAATTGTAACAGTGATAATTGTTAGGAAGACGGGTAGATAGTCCTTGACAGTCTTTGATTTAGATCAGAGAGATTTCCCCGAGGGAGGGACAACGGAAGGATGAGCGGGTGTGTAACTAGAAGACAAAAGGGAAAAACCGTTATGGGGAAGAGAGATGGTGTTGGGGGCGGAGGTGGGAGAAGTGGTTGGATGGTGAGCTTGGGAGGCAAACTGGGGCCCAGGAGCTTGGTCTGTTGGAGAGAGGAGAGAAGGCGAGTGGGATTGCTCCCGGCTAGGGTAGGACAGCAGAGTCCTATATTAGATTTTTTCCCCCTCCTGAGCAATGAGAATCTTTCCAAGGGTTTTAAAAAGACACAGGTGGAGGGGCTTGACATAAGATTTGAATTTTTCAATCTTTTCAGTCACCAGACTAAGATAAACTGGCATGTAAAACGTTGTTGAGTGAATGGTTAGAAGAGATGTTTCCAAAATGCTTTAAAATGGGAGGTACTGAGAGCTAAAGGTATTGTCCTACCCTGCTTCTCTCCACTACTTTCAGGGTTGAATTATAATTTTTTATTTTTTTTTAATTTTATTTATTTATTTTTTTAAGACTTTATTTGTCAGAGAGAGAGAGAAAGCGTACAAGCACGGGGAGCGGCAGGCAGAGAGAGAAGCTGGCTCCCCGCTGAACAGAGAGCCGGATGTGGGACTCGATCCCAGGACCCTGAGATCATGACCTGGGCCGAAGGCAGATGCTTAACCGACTGAGCCACCCAGGTGTCCCGAATTATAATTTTTTAAAAAACAGGTCACTTGAGGCTTAATGTCCCCAATAAATCTATAGATATCTTGTGGAGGAGTAGAATTTTTTTCTATTCAAGTTAGTGCAAAAAATTCTGGCATCTTCTGAATCATGAAGAGTTTCCATTTAAGGGCTGTAGTAGTGAAAACACAAGGTGAACTTGAACATATGCTATAGAAATGTTGCTGTTTAAGACAGTCTGTGAACCACCAGCTCCTTTCTCTAAACTGAAGCAGGTGTATGCATCCTACTCCCCAACCACCTTGAAAGGAGTAGGTGAAATTCTTGGAGACGTAAATGATTCTGTGACTCCAAATAGTCACCACTAACACCTTTCTTGTTTTGTTCCACAGGATTCATCCTTGAAAGCAGGATGGTTGAGGGAACATAATAGAGATAGCTTATCAGTGGTGGTGGTATTGGTGGTGGGGAAAGTGATAGGTTCTTATCTCGTGGACTCATAGCTTGGCTCCTGGGGGAAAGATCACATTTTAGGAAGCCTTTTGGGGCTTCCACAAGTCCCTGTAGCTGAGGTAAGTGCTAGTCCCCTAATTTCCTCTTGTGAATACAAATGGGTTGGGCATTGCAGATATTCATCCTTGATAACATTAACAGGCAACTGGGATTGTTCTTCAGGTTAGAAGGATCTATGTTCGTTTGCTTCCATGGTCACAGAATCCAATGATATTATGCTTCTTTGACTTTTCCATGAGATCCACAGTGTTACTAGCAAGAAAACACTCACCATCCTAAGTACTAATTTTGGTCTACAGATGTTGTCTGGAGACACTTGAGACCTTAAAAACAGTGTTTCCAAACGTATTTCAACTACCTACAATAGAATTCTTTAGGATGCTTCCCCAAAATACAAATTCTTGGGTCCCACTCTGGACCCAGAAGTTCCGAATCAGAACTTTTGAGGGCAGAGCCCAGGAATCTGAAATTTTATCAAGCACCCTGAAGACTTCCTATGCAAACGAAAGCTTGAAAATAATTGTCTGAAAAAGGTAGAATGTCAGGAATTACCTTCATTAGTTTGCCAAGTAAATCCTAATCATTAGTTAATGTTGTATCCTTTAAACGTTCTCTAAGTATTCTTACAAAATAGTTAATCAGTGTTACCCTACATAGTTTCAAAACTTATTCAGATGGCTTCTTATCCTCCAAAGTTAACTCACAAAGATGGGGATGGGGGTGAGAGGAAGAGAGCTATTGTTTATTGAGCAGCTGATATGTGTCTGGTGCTTTAAACATCTGATTTCATCCACTCCACAATTTTGTACATTTGGAATTACTAACTCTTACAGATAAAGTCAGACAAACTTCAGGGAAGCTTTTAGTTTTGGTTTAAAAAATGTTATTATGGAAAAAGTAAATATATAAAAAGGAGTCAGGATAGTATAATGAATGAACTACCTTCAAAACTTAACACGTGTTCAATGTTGTTTTGTCTATACTTCCCATCCTCTTTCCCCTACCCCCATATTATTTTTCCCCAAATTATTTTGAAGAAAATTCCGGACATAATTTCCTCTCTAATATTTTAGTATATTTCTAAAAGAACCATTAAAAATAACATAGCCATAGTACATTTATGAAACCTAAAAAACAATTTTTTAACATCATATATCTAGTCAGTGTTCAAATTTCTAATTGTCTTATAAATGTCATTTATTTTCTAGTTTGTTTGAATCAGGACCCAAATCAGGTCCACACATTCCTATTGATGTGTCTCAGAGATGATTTAAGAAGCTGCCTCTTATTATTTAGATCTCAGCTCAAATGGTAGCTTCTCAGAACCCTTCCTGGACATCCCATGTATTATAGAACTTCACTTTATATTATGCTGTTTTCTTCTCCTTTTTTAAAAATTGAAGTATAGGGGCACCTGGGTGGCTCAGTCAGTGAAGTGACCGACTCTTGGTTTTGGCTCAGGTCATGATCTTGGGGTCATGGGACAGAG